TCTAATATTTTAATCAAGAGGAGAACAATATAAAATGACTTTTTAAGATTTTGTAAAAATTCAACGTGACCGCTTTTTGGGTCATTTATGCCAACCGTGTACGGCCTCATTTATCCTCCGATTTGGAGGCTCAATATAGTTTACAACATCGTTTTTTTTATAGTTTTCAGTATCTTGTCGAGATAGGATTCTCGTAAGGTCTTACTTGGGCCCGGACTTGATTAAAACGGCAGAAAATTTGCTGTAGCAACTCGACCCACGAGGAAAAGAAATTATTATGGTTTATATGATGATGTAATCCACGAGTGAAAATGGCATACCATTGGTTACGAAGTTTATCGGAAGTTTATATGACCGAACATGACCAGGACATGTACAGATGAGAGGAAACATGATTTGTGGCACGTCCGCTACGTCCAGAATCTTCCAATAATAGCGCAGCGCAACCGTGACGTCATTAAAACGAAGACAAAGGCGAAATTCGGACAAACAAACTTACAAGTTTACTTTCAATAGATAGTTTTCACAGCCGATCGCAGTTGATCTTAGCTTACATGGGTTATTATTATAACTTTAAGTAAAAATAATAAAATCGGTTCGTATAATCTTCGTAGCGGTTAAACAGAATGCAATGTTTGTCCGAATCTTTAAGCTATTTTTAGAATCAGTGCGCTGTGCTATTGGTCAGCCGGCAAGATCGGTATTGTCAAGATCGGCCATGAAAACGGTTATTCCACTGTTTAGAGATGTATAATGAAAGCTCTAAGAGTTAAATGAACTGATAAATTCAGTAAATTAAAAACTTACTGCATAAAATGCGAAAAATGATTCCCCTACCAGGGAAGAGGAAGTGGTTCATACTACGCGATAGCAACATGTTTGGCTGTCTATCGACGGACTAAAATGGACTAACCACAAAAATGGTTGGTGAAATATTTTATTTTCATTTGTAAAAAATGCCAGCACAGAAGACATTATGCCGGAAAAAAGTGAAGACAAAAATGTTTAGGGTCTTTAGGAACAATATTTGAATGTATTCAATAGTGCTTACTATGCAACCTTCACCAACTTTCTTGAAATAGCTGTATTATAAGTATAGATATTTACCTTTAGCTGTCCTCTTGCTATTATCCTCGTCAAATGTAAGTGAGTCTTAAAACCGATCAAAGATCACGGAGTTGTTGACTTTATTCAGTGGATTTCTTAACTGTGTCCTTACGGCTAGAAGATGAAATGTGCTTGTTCATGTGTTTATCCGTCAGAAAGTGGCAAAAAAACACGACTCTGCACTGATAATTATAAGGAAATATTTAAGCAATTGAAAACTTTTCCCGTGTTTACATATATCAACACTAGGGGAGGTTTGGAGAATTCGAGACAGTTATGCAAACCCGAAACGTAGTTATTTCACACAACATTAATTACAATACAAAAATATAGGAATAATTAGATAGAGTTGAACAGTTATGAAAAACGCAGAGTAAATATTTACAAAGTGTGAAGCGAGAAAGAATAGCTAGCTATTTTAAACATTCTAAAACTTTAAAACAAATACAAAGAAATGTTCAAAGATTGAATATAAATATTAATAAAAGATTTCAGAATTGGTTATCTTTACGAAAGTGATCAAAAGTAGAWGACTGAGTGTCACTGTGACTGGAATTCTCGGTTGAAAGAAACGTGGTTTTGCTCAATTTGACAGCCATAAATTATGAAGTTGATTGTTTCGTCTTGCCTCGAGAAGATATTTTGTGCAGCTGAAGAGCTATCGCTGGAAAAAGCTTGAAGCTGCTGACTGTTTCCTTAAAATACTTGTATTCCTTATCGGGCGGTGCATTTAAATCATGAGAAAGCACGTCGCTGAACATAACAACCGAAGCTGTCCTGACGAACGTGTGTTGTACTAAGCTCCTGAGGGAATTCTCGTTGCGGTGACCAACGAGAGATTGTCATGATATTACGATCAGAAAGACTTGCATGAGACCATAGGGTTATGCCTATGGCCCTGACACAAGTCAAAATTTGGAACTTCGTCTTCAAAATACATTTTTGGGGGCGTTTTTTTCCTCAAAAGAAATTGCAAATTATTGAACTTGACCTGGAAAACACGAAAGTTGTGACGTCACAACTGTGTTTACATACCCACATGCAAACATGGCTATCAAACAATCAAAGCGTGCGCACTATTTAATTAATTTTATAAAACAAAGTACGTAGGTCTATTAATAAATTTATAGTACACTCAACAAAATTACTCGACTCTGATTGGTCGAGAGGAGTACAATTATAGCGTTAATTGTACTCCGTAGGAGTACCGAATTAAGTCGCTATGGCAACACGGCCAAAACAATGTCAAAACAATTATTTTCTATCATTTTGTATTTAAAAAACATATGAATAAAATTTTAAAAGCTGTAAGAACTAATCTTTTTTATGCATTTCAGTTGCACGATGGACTGAAAATCGGCCGCCAAATAGACAAAGATGAACGGCATCGATGCGCATTTTTTACTGAAATTTTGTTGAGTGAACTATAAACAAAAAATTACACGATCTTCTTCGTCTTTGGAATTAATAGACACTTGTAATGTTTTGAAAGTTCTTGTAATTGCACGAGCCTATTTTAGTGCATAGAATCTCAGAATTTAATCCGAGAATACTATGAAATACACAGTTATTCGGACCCAAGCAAGGGGACAGGGGGATGGGTTGTTGTGCGTAAGTATAAAGGAATGTGAGTGAGTGTCAATAGAGCACGAGGGCATAGGAAGGGAATAACTTTCTTATGGATAGTATAGATGGGAAGGGATGTAGGGAATAGGTAGCAGTGATGATAAAAAGGGAAAATGAGGAAAATGTATTATTTATAGGGGTAAATTCAAGGGCAACGCGAAGAGCAGGATAAATACGCCGCGTATGGTGATGGCACGCGTGGYGGGGGGCGGTGCTGATATGATGTATCGAAAAATAATTTGCTTGTARGTTTGTATGATGARCTCACGTGTAGGTAGAACCGTCGGTGAATGTGTGCTRGACCTAGCGCCCTATCATGCATCTATCGTCAGGGGTGAAGATGCAAGATAGCGAAGAAATTCGACGTGTTTCAAGACTCTTAGGCCCAAGAGCTTCACCCTACACGTGGCGCCAGGTCAACGGTTCTGCCTGAGGAATACGMAATAGCGGCGGATAAAGGGAACCACAAGGATACCGAGGTAAAACGGGGGTATATAAGGTAAAGGATAAAGTGTRTTACCTGGAAATGATGAAATGTGGCCTAGACGACGGGCTAGCGATTTMGTGATTGAACATTCCATAACTGTATGGCGAGAAAGGGGAAGGCCAGTCGCGGAGGGGGCGTTTATGTATGTYGTGAAAGCGAGGTTGCGAAAATAAGTGGGGTGGACAAAGTTTCAAGCAGGGCGGGTTAGGGTTTAGTTGTGGCGGAAAAGTATGGAGGTAGTGAGCCAGAAGAAGAAGGTGGAAAAAGGAGAAAGGAAGAATAATAATAAATAAATAGATATATATATATATATAATCGTGCGATTTCCTATACTAATATTGTTGAATTTACCAGTCTGAACGTGAGGATCTCGTGATCATATATAAAACACGTCCGTATTCACAAAACCCCAACAATGAAACATCCTCGTACCCAGTTCTTTGCCGCCAGCCTCTCAGTGAAACCAAAACAACTCATGAAGCTGCATCTACTGTTGAGTCGTAGTTACCAGCCTTTAGAGCACATACAGTAGATGGTTTTCATAAACCCGTGAAATACACTTTAGC